CTTGGTCAAAAATGGAAACGCTTACTGTCCTGGCAGATGATTTGGAGTACTGACATCTTTGTGCTGTCTAGGGCCACACTAGTCATCTCCCGCAGTGTTTCTATATCTCATTTCAGTGTCCCAGTGCCTTTGGTGGCAGCTCAGTACTTTCTGTTGCCTGTATTTTAGATCACTGTGGCTAAAGCAGGTCTGAAAGTGTTTAAAACACTGTAGACCTTTTTTGCGTGAACGCTCCGTATTGTTCCTGTAGGTAGTGTGGACCGTCATACGGTGTAAATTTGTTGTCTGCGAAGCATCAGGAGTTTCTCAGTACGAATGGTATGCTGTCCTTGCTGCTATATTGTAGCATGTCGTACTATACTGTAGAAACCACGAAGTGATGGAATAGCACCAACACAGTGTTGGCCTCAAATAATGTCTTTCAAAGCAATACGAAAACAGCTTGTCTGTCTTATGAGGGTCTGAAATGTGAGTGGTGCAGGTGGAGGGATGTCACACATTAGCCGAACTTTGTATTATCAGCGTTGCCTTTGCAGCTGCCAAGGAAAGCGAAAGAGAAATGAGAAGACGGAGGTGTGGATGCGTGAGGAATGGAGATGTAGGGCCTTGGGGTGGCAGGCTGGGGGCTGGTGCAGAGCACCAATAACAAGCCTATTGGGGAGGACAAGGGATGGACAAGTTTTGGGGGAGGAAGTAGAGATGCGAGCCTCAGCACAGAACAGGGGGCGGACTGCAAGAAATGAAAACCCAAGGGGGAGAGTAAAGGGCAGTCGTAAAGAGGAGGGGGGTGTGAATGCCTACTGTGCTTGAGGATCTGGGCCAAAGTGGCAGGCTTACGCCAGGAGGGTGTGGATCCGTTTTGCCTTGTACGGGGAGAGAGCAGCTACTCCATTAATAGAAACAGCAGTTTCTCAAGTATCACACAAATGTCACGTCTTAACACTGAGTACTGTAGCTGTGCCAGTAAATTCTCATATGGTGACTTTTTGTCTTTCAACTGTAGGTTTTTTGCGGGTTAGGTAAATAAAGGCTTCTTAGCAAAGATAAACATCCCTTTAGCAATTTGTGTAGTAAGGACCAGAATTCAGAAGTTGCACAAGGCAAATAAGTATTAGGAAAAAAATGAAGGTTTCAACATTAGGGTTGCAAAATTAGGCATTTCCTAACTTTGGAATTCCAGAATGTAGGTTGCTTGGGTAACTATCGCGTATGCAGGAATTACGCTTGAATGCAGTTCGACCAAGTTGACTGGGGGAGAGGACATAGACCTCTGAGTGTTTGATGGTGCAATTATTTATTAATAATGAATAAAATTATTGGGTACTGATAAGAGTTGCTGAACTGTCACCTATGAAAGATGAAACTTTCTACCCCCAGTATCTCTCCATGCTTACTTACCTTTGTGTCATGGAGGATGGGAAAAATAACTATCGTCTTCCAGTTGTTGGTTTCTCAAGGTGGTTAGCTTTCCTAATGTAATGCTTGCGTTTTGGGATGGCGGCATCTTTCTGGAAGAAAACAGCCCAAGGCACTGTTTCCTTCCAACAAACCTGCCAAATACTCAGCTGATCCATGCTCAAGTGGGTGATCTAGGGGCAGATGTTTTTCTGCCTCGGTAGAAGTCAAAATCTTGCATCCAACTCCCTGCTGCTCTTATAATTTGTTAGTATTTCACTCTGGTTGTTCTCTCATAGATCTTAAGCAGCCTGAGTTTTTCTTCTTTATCTAACAGTTTCATTTTTCTCTCCTCTGAGACAATAGAAACTAATGTCTCTTCCTATTTTTCTGCCTGTGCACTAAAATTATTGATGTCAACAGGATTCTTCACAGCTCTGAAACTCCAGCTGTGCTCTGCCAGACTGACAGGAGCTCTGTTAATTGCGTCTTCTATGGTTGTACTGTTTTTAGTCCCCGTTAGTACAAGCATTATGGAGGGATCATGCAAGCAGTATATGCCTTGTTGTGCTCCAATTCATCATAGTGCATTGATATAAAAACATTGACATCAAAACACCCCCCCCCCAAAAAAAAAAAAAAACAAAACTCATTTAATTTTACCTCAGGACATTTTTAGCAGTTTTACAGAAAATAGAGGGGTAGACCTGTTGTCAGCTTAATTAGCCGTAATAGTGTAACTAAGCATTTCAGATTTCTTTCTACGTTATTAACTGTTCTTGTTTTCAAGCAAATTGTGGCTTATTTTCAGGAGTACAACCTAAAGCCTTAGGAGACGTAACTTTTCAAAAATGCGAAGCACTCAGGTCTCATCAAAGCAAGCGAACACTGACGGGGTTGAGCTAATTTGGAAATTAGGCCATTGTTATTTTTCTTGCTCTTTCTCTACCCCGTGTGTTATATAAAACCAGGTTCATGAGTTAGATTATGGTTGACTTCCCAGAGGGTGTGAGCGAAGGAGTTATTCCAGATAGATTTCAGCAGGCGGAGGGGAGAGTAATTTAACTAGATTAGAGGACAAGGTCCTGAGTGCATTTTCATCTCTACTTAAACTAATAGGAGTTGAGATCGTAGTGGATCTTGCACGATTTGATCCTTAATGTTAACTATGATCTGTCCCACCCCTTTTTGAACGTGTAAAATTTTGCCCAAACAGTTTTCCATAAGTCAGACTTCTTAATATGAAAAAGGAGCTCTCTTGTAAAACTGTACAGTGGGAATGAAGTAACAGATTTCTGCTTTGTGTAGCCAGAGAAATTCTCCAGCAATACAGGAAAGTAGGCACTAACTGACCCAGCTAGA